GAACCACTTGCCTGGTTGTATTTATAAATGTATGTAAGCTGAAATGACTTCTAAAAACCATGACCCATACCTCTTTTTATCCACACACTTTTCCTAAATTTTGATGGCATACTGACCAGGAATTTTGTGCCATCAGACGTTTCCACCTCATGGAGATTGTTTCCACGACTGCCTAAAATCTATGTCACAAAAGCAGAAAATCAGTAAATAATGCCTAACTGAAAATGGGATACCCCACACCTACCTAGATCACCTCACTCTTAGGGAAGTAAGACCAAAGAGTCATTCTAGTTTATATGCACTACATCCCCAATCTCGTTGACAAGGTTTGTCCCTCACAAAAAAACACTATCAAAGTGCCATGCCATATCCTCTTTAGAAATAACATAGCCTGTAAGGAGGCTCTTGTGCACTGTTGCACAAGGAAAAGTTAAGCCACCAGACTAAAGCATGGCCCCTTGCCAACTCGCTTCGTTCACAGGCTTGTCGCTCACAGGCTCACCTTTGCTCGTACCGCAATGCCGCAACCTGCTCATAGGCTAGAATTAACCTGTTTTTTTTCTCTCTTCTCTCTCAAAAAAGCCGACTTCTGAACCCCATCAGAAAATTCAACAGATCAGATGATGCCGACAGAGCAAACCCTCAGGACATGAGCTTTATACCCAGCTCAGTATATCTCATCTATGGGGGAGGTAGGGGGTGGATATAAAACGGAATGGCCCTAAACCCCACCACTCAACACAATAAGCTTATTAGAGTTTAAAACATGCAATTATTTATTTTTTTTATTTAAGGGTAATTTATTATAACCACAGTTGTTTGCAGTAACAGTATTTGAAAAACATTATACTATCATTAGTGAATTCCTTACCTTAACAATTTGCTGGTTTAGATCGGGAACCACGTAATCATCCAGCACTTCTTTCGCAACATGTTTTCTCTTTGTTGCCTTCGACATGATCCTTAAACTTTATAAACTTTAAGATCGCCGTATTGCACGGCGATCTCTGAACTAGTTGTCGTACAAAATGGGCAAAAACGCCCACTGCTCAGTATATTTTCATAATCAAAGAGCCATGTTGGTTATTTTCTATTCTTTCACGAGTAAATTGAAAAAGATCCTTGCTGGTGATTTAGTGCACATGTAGGCACATTTGGACGCCATTTTGATTAGGACTTGTTTCCACGATTCGCTCGGTCATTCCGACAGAGAACGCCTGGGGAGGTATCCGGTCATTTCGCCCCATGGTCATTTCGCCCCAACCAAACGTCACTTCGCTCCATAAAAGAAGTAACTTCGCTCCATACATTGTCAAAGTTGACTACGCTCAAAACATTATCAAAANCGTCACTTCGCTCCATACAAGAGTTACTTCGCTCCATACATTGTCAAAGTTGACTGCGGAACCACTCACCTGCGGCTCGTGGTTCCACAGCCACTTTGACAATGTTATGACGCAATTTACCATCAATAAGAGAACAGACGCATAAAAAACTGACGCCAATTTGTTAACTCTATCGAGTAAGCAAAACTACTGGGCCGATAACAATAAGAATTAACAAGGATTTTGAGGGATTACAACGTAAAAAAATTCGTGTTGAGGCAAGTAATCCTACGAAATGATATTTAGTGTTACCAAGCGT